CTTGACTCACTGCAGCCTCTGCCTCCCAGGCTCAAGTGATTCTTCTGCCTTAGCCTCCCAAGTAGCTGAGACTACAGGCGCCTACCACCATACCCAGATAATTTTTTTGTATTTTTAGTAGAGATGGGGTTTCACCGTGTTAGCCAGCCTGGTCTCAATCTTCTGACCTCGTGATCTTCCTGCCTTGGCCTGCCAAAATGCTGGATTACAGGCATGAGCCTTTTTTCCCGGTTTTTTTTTTTTTTTTTTTTTTCCTTTTTGCTGAGTCTTGCTCTTGTTGCTCAGGCTGGAGTGCAGTGGCGAAATCTCAGTTCACTGCAACGTCCGCCTCCCAGGTTCAAGTGATTCTCCTGCCTCAGCCTCCCAAGTAACTGGGATTATAGGCACCTGCCACCACGCCTGGCTAATTTTTTTTTTTTTTTGTATTTTTAGTAGAGATGAGTTTCACCACGTTGGTCAGGCTGGTCTCAAACTCCTGACCTCAGGTGATCTGCCCATCTTGGCCTCCCAAAGTGCTGGGATTACAGGCTTGAGCCACCGAGTTTTATGTTTTTAGTAGAGATGGGGCTTCACCATGCTGGCCAGGATGGTCTCTCTCTCTTGCCCTCAGCCTGCGTTGGCTTCCCAAAGTGCTGGGATTACAGATGTGAGCCACTGTGCCTGGCCAAGATTTTTAAATACAGTCTAAATACAGAAATATGTGATCTGCAAATATATTCTGCCATTCTATATGTCTTTTTACTTTCTTGGTCATGTCCTCTGATGCACAAAAGTTTTGAGGTCTAACTTGTTTTTTTGCTTTGGTTTCTTGTATTTTTTAGGTGTTATATTTAAGAAGCTGTTGCCTATTCCAAGGTCATAAAAATTTATGCTTATATTTTCTTTCTTTTTTTTTTCTTAGATAGAGTTTCATTCTTGTCACCCAGTCTGGAGTGCAATTGCACGATCATGGCTCACAGCAACCTCTGCCTCCCAGGTTCAAGAGATTCTCCTGCCTCACTCTCCCAAGTAGCTGGGATTACAGGCACGTGCCACCATGCCCCAATATTGTTTGTATTTTAGTAGAGACTGGTTTCACTGTGTTGACCAGGATGGTCTCAATCTCTCTTGACCTCATGATCCGCCTGCCTCAGCCTTTCAAAGTGCTGGGATTACAGGTGTGAGCCACTGCACCCAGCCAATTTTATTCTTTTTCATGCTGGCCTTTGTCCTCTCTCTTTAAGTAGGATGACCTCATCATGAACATAATACTGTCTAGAGATGTTTCCTTGGTTGTAAAATGAGAACCTCAGGGAGATTTTTTTATGATTCCTTAGTTGCCCCCTCCCCTCCACTTTTCAGTTTTTAGTCTGTATTTTGAATTTGCTTGAAACAGGGTCCCCATGACATATCTGCTGGTTAATTTGCAGCCATCACTGGTGCTTATCTGCCTAAGGGAGATAAAAGGACATGGAGAGGAATGGCTTTGGAGTCCAACAGGCTATTGTCCTGGTAAGCCTTTTACTGGCTGTGTGGTCTTGAGCACATTATTTCACCTGAGCTTGTTTTTCATTTGTCGAGTGGGGCTGTTATTGAGGATTCAGTAAGTGCAGTGAATGAGGGCAGCTGGAGCACTGCTAGCCCACTGGGCCCATTTCCTAGATTGATGGGCAGTAACAGCCCAGGAGGGTCTCCTCAGCCACCCAAGCAGAGGTGCAGTGCCACAATCATGGCTCACTGCAGCCTCAACCTCCTGGGCTCAAGCAGTCCTCCTGCCTCAGCCTCCCAAGTACCTGGTGTGCTGCTATGCCTGCTTTTTATTATTTTTGGTAGAGGTGGGGGTCTCACTCTGTTACCCAGGCTGGTTTCCCGACTCCTGGCCTCAAACAATCCTTCCTCCCTCAGTGCTGGGATTACAGGTGGAAACCTGCACCAACATTGAAATTATCTTCTTGTATTGCTGATTCTGGATTAATCCTTATTTTCTACCATTGCACTATTTCTCATCTGGGCAAGGGCAGCTTTCCCCTTTGCCCTTCCTTTTTTTTTTTTTTTTTGAGAGGCAGTTTTTTTCTTGTCACCCAGGGTAGAGTGCAATGATCTGATCTCAGCTCACTGCAGCCTCCACCACCTCCTGGATTCAAGCGATTCTCCTGCCTCAGCCTTCCGAGTAGCTGGGATTACAGTGCCTGGCTTTTTTGCATTTTTAGTAGAGAGAGGTTTCACCATGTTGGTCGGCTAGTCTTGAACTCCCAATGTCAGGTGATCCACCCACCTCGGCCTCCCAAAGTGCTGGGATTACAGGCATGAACGACTGCACCCGGCTTTTTTTTTTTGAATGGAGGCCAGGCTGGAGTGCAATGGCACAATCTGGACTTACTGCAACATCCACCTCCTGGGTTCAAGTGATTCTCCTGCCTCAGCTTTTCGAGTAGCTGGGATTACAGATGTCCACCACCACAACACCTGGCTAAGTTTTGTATTTTTAGTAGAGACGGGGTTTCACCGTGTTAGCCAGGCTGGTCTTGAACTCCTGACCTCAGGTGATCTGCCTGCCTGGGCCTCCCAAAGTGCTGGGATTAAAGACATGAGCCACCGCACCCCGCCTAATTTTGTATTTTTAGTGGAGACGGGGTTTCACGTTTGCCAGGCTGGTCTCGAACTCCTGACCTCAGGTAATCCACCCACCTCAGCTTCCCAAAGTGCTGAGATTACAGGCATGAGCCACTGCGCCCAGCCTCCTTTCTATTTAATCGACTTCTGTTCCTACTTCCTTCTTTCAACATTGCAGTGACAATGTGCTGGTCTAACATTTCAACCCACTTATCTTTAGCCAGAGGCAGAGCTTTCAAAACTGGGAATTTACTGTATTCTAAACATTTCCCTCTTGAGGGTTTATTCAGATGACTCCTGGGCTCCTAGTCTTAGGGAGCAGGAAGGCAGTCTTTCTGGAACAGGTGTTCACTACTTTCTGTTATCAGGTCTCAGCCACGTAGACCTGGAGCCGCTCCCTAGCAGGATCTGGTGCACTCTTCCGGCCCCTCCTCTCCTTTTCCATTCGTCTCCCCTCCACCATCCAGCTTCCATGCTGCCCTTTCCAGAAACATCTCCAATTCCCATCAGCTAGGTTTTCTTTCATGGATTCCTTCTTGTATTCCTTGCATACATCACATCACTTGGTACTCTGTACTTTGTCATGCTGTCTTCTTTTATAGCCGTTAAGCTGGTTAGCTTGAGGGCAGGGCTGCATGCCATTTACGTGTGCTTTGCCCAGCCTGGCGCGTATGTAGCTGCTCCATGGATATCTGCTGGGTCACTGAGCTGAGGCAGGTGGTTGCTTGATACATTTTTCTGGGCTGGCTCTGATTAATGCTGAGTAAGTTCATCTCACATGAAGATGCTGGTTTAGGGGCTGGGCAAGGTGGCTCATGCCTCTAATTCCAGCATTTTGGGAAGCCAAGGTGGGAGGATCACTTGAGCCCAGGAGTTTTAGACACGATCTCTGTAAAAATTTTAAAAAGTCAGCCAGGCATAATGGTGCACACCTGTAAGTCCAAGCTACTAGGGAGGCTGAATTGAGAGGATTGCTTCAGCCCATGAGTTTGAGGCTACAGTCAACAATTGTGCCATTGCATTCTGGTCTGGGTGACCAGACTTGTCTTAGAGAGAAAAAAAAAAAAAAAAAAAAAAGCTGGTTGTTTTCAGACTGTAAAATAGTAGTAACAGTTCAAGATATCCGACAATCATGTTTTTAGCAGTCACATATGGTTAGTGTACATCTGTGATAAAAATAAGATCTGGAATTGATACCAAAGCAGCTCAGTAATAGTAGACTTTTTAGTGTACTAACATTTAAGTTTGTTCACAGCCAGTGCAATGTTCAGTTGGAGGATAAACAACCTCTCTATTCTTTCAGTATCTAGCACATTACTGGATTCGTGTTATAATCTCTCTCAGCTTTCTAGGTTTTATTTCCACACAATTTCCTTCCTTTCAACCCGATTCCAACTGACTTTTTGATGAGCAGTTAGCAAACAGAAGTAATGTGTTCCCTAGCTTCATGTTTCGAGACGAGTCTCGTTCTGTCACCCAGGCTGGAGTGCAGTGGTGTGATCTTGGCTCACTGCAATCTCCACCTCCAGAGTTCAAGTGATTTTCCTGCCTCAGTCTCCCGAGTAGCTGGGACTATAGGCGCCTGCCACCACACCTGGCTAATTTTTATACTTTTAAGAGAGATAGGGTTTCACCTTATTGGCCAGACTGGTCTCGAACTCCAGACCTTGTGATCTGCTTGCCTTGGCCTCCCAAAGTGCTGGGATTACAGGCGTGAGCCACTACGCCTGGCAAGTCTTGTTTTTTTTTTTTCAAGAAATTACTTGAGACTTAGGCAGATATTAACAGTCTTAGGTCCTCCTCATCCCACGTAAGACGAAGGTGATTAGAAGACCATGAGGTCATCCTTGAGGGGTCCTGAATCAAGATGTAAATAGGGGGCCGGGCACGGTGGCTCAAGCCTGTAATCCCAGTACTTTGGGAGGCCGAGGCGGGTGGATCACGAGGTCAAGAGATCGAGACCATCCTGGTCAACATGGTGAAACCCCGTCTCTACTAAAAAAAAAAATACAAAAAATTAGCTGGGCATGGTGGCGCGTGCCTGTAATCCCAGCTACTCAGGAGGCTGAGGCAGGAGAATTGCCTGAACCCAGGAGGCGGAGGTTGTGGTGAGCCGAGATCGCGCCATTCCACTCCAGCCTGGGTAACAAAAGCAAAACTCCGTTCAAAAAAAAAAAAGATGTAATTAGGTTATCATTTCAACCTTGACTACTAGCTGGTACTTGTAGTACTTTTTCCCAGAATTTTAGACAAATTCACCCAGATCTACTTGTGAATACATATGCAGTATGTTAATGAGGCTATAAGCTAATGCTTTCACTTTTTTCTCTGAATCCTAAGCATCAGGCACTTAAACTGGTGTACTCCGAAACACAGACGTGGTATTAAGAAGTGAAACAAAGTCAGGGTGTCTGTCTCACACAGTTTATTTAACAATAGGTAATAAGAAATCAAATTTAACAGTCTATACAGTGATCCAAAGTTCATATTTATAAGTAATCAACTTTAATTGCATGATTTACAACAGTTGAGGGTTTTTGCTCTCTATTTTCAAGTTTTATAGAAAGTATGTGTGTGTGTCTGTGAGAGAGAGAGAGAGAGAGAGAGAGAGAGAGAGAGAGTTGGGGGTAGGGTAAGGAGGAAGAAAGCAAGCAAAGAAGAAACCCCCAGGGACATTTTGCATGTTAAAATCATCCCACCGGAATCGTTTCTTACCCTCTTTTTAATTTTTTTCCTTTGTTAGATGTAAAAATAACGAAAAAAATTCTTTCAAGAAACAGAAACCACAATATATAATACATCAATTTGGCAGCTGCCCCTGTATATTTTTGAAAAAGTCATTTTTCTCTCTACATGTACAAATTATTTTAATACTTGAAGTTTTACGCTCAGACTTATTACAGAATAGAAAATTTTCTGGAGCACAAAAGTTGACTTGAGGGGAAGAAAGGGAGTTTTTTTTTTTTTCTTTTAACATTTTTAAAAGAATGAACATCTTTGCACCCAGAGAAAAAAAATTGGTATTTTAATATATATTTATATATATTTATATATATATATAGAATGTAATTTTAAAGTAACATTAACCCCTTTTGTCCTCTGGTTTTAGAAATGTTTTAACTCTTCCATAAAGTGAGGAAAATAGGGAAAAATGTCAACCATCTGCACCAGTAAATAATAACTATTAATATTACATACTTTCATTAATTTAAAAAAAATAATAAAACCTATTGGAGGTGCAAGGCAGGAGCATATTGTTTGGCTTCACAGGCCTCAGCCTCCTCCCAGTGCACACTTGAACCACACACACAAGGGGGAAAAAAGCTGGTGGTAACCAGCCATAACAAAAATATATTCTTTGTTTCTATCATCCCTCAGGTTCATCTTGCATGTTTGCTTTAAATCACAAACGGCTACTGCACAGTTCTTATGTGTTCCAAGGAAAATTGTCTTTTAGGCTACGAAAGATTCAAAAAAATTGTTTTCAGTACAAAAAGTCTTGTTAAGAGAAAATAATTTTTTTGCTCCCAAAATACTACAAGGTGTCTCTAGTGTATGTCTAGTGTACTCTGTGAGAGGTTTGAATTCAAGTCTGAGTTATCGGTGCTGAGTCCCAGGTCCGTGGCGCTTGCACCATGGAGGTTTGCCATGCCTGGATTGCTAGTCAGCTGAGAAAGCACTGAATTTTGCTCCGGGCTGGCAAAATGCCCTTGTTCCATGGGGTTGGCCTGGGCAGCTACCAATCCAGGATGTGGGGAACTTGTCTGTGGGGAAACGTGGTGTGGAGAAGGCTGAGGCTGCATCCTTGGGGAAGGGCTGGAGTGGGGGGGCTGGGACTGTGGCCGTGGAGAAGGGACAGGCTGGGGAGAACGCACTTGATTGGAGAGAGAATTAGGGATCTGCTGGCCTTGTAGGTGTGGGGACTGGGCCTGATTTGGGAGCATATGCTGCTGGGGGCTCATAGGGTTGGGCTGAGCAGGGGACCCCATCTGTTGCTGAAGGAGTCGCTGCTGATAGGCCTGTAGACTGGCACCTGCCTCTGCTCCCAAGGCCTGGGGGAGCTGGCCCATCTGTCCCATATTTCCTTGTTGCATCTGTTGCATGTGATGCTGCATCCGCTGCTGCTGCTGCTGCTGCTGCTGCTGCGGTGGGTAGCCAACTCCTTGGGGTTGCTGGAACTGATTATGGTTGGCCATTCCAGGACCTATTCCTGGCCCTGCTCCCTGTTGCTGCTGTTGCTGCATCATCTGCTGTCGTCTCAAGATGTCTCGGAACTGTGAAGGCATGGTGTTGTGGTTCATGTTCATCTGCTGAGCCTGGGGGCTCATCCCTCCCATGGGTGGCTGGAGTTGCTGCTGTGGTTGCTGCTGTGGTAGGCCAGCCCTCTGAATGCCTGCCTGCATTGGATTCATGTTCTGCATGGCTGGATTGGAGTGGACCCCCTGCTGCCCTGGCATGGTAGGTGGCTGTAGTCCTGGCTGCCCCTGGGGCATGCCAGGCTGCCCAGGGAGGGATTGCGGATTAGAGTTGGCATACTTAGCAGCCCGCTGCTTGATGAATGCAGCCAACAGTTGGGGGTTGGCGTGAAGGATACTAAGCACCTGTTGCTGCTGTAAAGGAGAGCTGGGAGACCTGAGAGTCCGCAGAAGGTTTTGTAAGGCTTGCTGAGACACAGTGCCTGGTTTGAGTGGGCTCACACCTACCTGGCCCAGTCCTGGTTGTGGAGCCATGTTCAAGGGTTGACCATGCTGGGCCACTGACATCATGGCTGGCCTTGGCATCCCAGACTGTAGTTGCTGGGGCTGAGGCAATCCTCCTTGGGCCCAGGGTGGCTGTTGCTGCATCCCTGTTGGTCCCATCCCTGGCTCCATATGCCCACTGGGACCTCTGGTCATCGGAGGTGGGTTCATACCCATGGGGGCCATGGGAGCCATTGGAGGCATTTGGTGTTGGATTGGCCTTTGAAAAATTTGCACATGGGCCATCTGGCGCTGTGTCTCTGCTGCTCTCTGAATCTGCATTGCCATTTCCACTGCTGCAGGTGGGGGCCCTGGAAGGGGTGGCTGAGCAGTCTGAGGAGGGGTTGGAGGGGTCACCTGGCCTGCTGCCTTACCCTGGGACACTGGGCCAGCAGCTTGAGTCCTGGGCAAGTAGGGTGGCATGCTATTGGGAGGGGTAGGCTGAGGCTGAGAGGTGGGCTGGGGTGTCTGTGGGGTGGTTGGCTGTTGGCCGGTTGGTGTTGTTGGAGTGGCAGGAGTGGGGGAAGGCAGGCCCTGTTGCTGCCCCACCACACCAGTCCGCTGCATGCTGGCCATCCGCCTGCGAAGCATTTGGGCCTGCTGTAGTCGGTGCTGGAGCTGCTGTTGCCGGAGCTTCTGTTTGATATTTAGGCAGAACGGCACCGGGCATTTGTTCTCCTGGCAGTGCTTGGCATGGTAGCAGCAGAGGGCAATAAGCTGCTTGCAGATGGGGCATCCACCATTGGTTTTCCGTTTGCAACCCTTAGTATGCTGTACAACCCGCTTCATCTTCTGGCAGGAGGGCAGGGAGCAATTGGCATTCCGACACTGGCAAGCATGGACCAGAGACTGGATGCAGCGCTGGATACTCAGGCGGCGAGAATCGCCTGGGCTCTGGGTGGCTGCAGCCTGCTGGTTGTTGCTTTCATCATCTAAGCCCAGACCTAGTTTCTCCATTTTATGGTCATGGTTTTTAGTGTTATAGCAGGTGATACACAAGTCATAATCCTGGGGAAAAAACAGGAGGTCCAGGTAAACTCTCCAAGATTTAAGTCATTCAAAAGTATTTTAGATATTCTGTCTGGGCTAGAAAAGCCCGTTTTGTAGAACAATGCCACTCAAACATAGCACCCCACAGGCCTATATAACTGCATGGCCCCTCGTAACAATGAGAACCCTGCAGAGCTTATCTCCTCCCTTCTACAACCAGGTGCCTACCTCACAGACAGTGCAGTGCCAGCGTGTCTCCACATGGTGCTTGCACTCATTGCAGGTGTAGACAAAGCGGTCCTGGCTCTGCGTGTGCAGCTCCACCAGCATGCACATGGTGGACCACTGGGCTCTTCGGAGTGAAGAGAACTCCAGGTGCTTGTCCCTTGCCAGCGTGAGAAACGCATCCCGACCATCCATCAGATCGCAGGGGATGAGAGGGTCAGGGTCAACAATGGGAGGCAGGGAGTTGGCAGCAGGGCCAGCAATGAGGCGGATCACAAAGAAGACCTGCAAAATAGACAATCTCTTTTTTTGAGACAGGGTCTCACTTTGTCACCCAGGCTGGAGTGGAGTGGCGTGACCGTGACTCCCTACAGCCTTTGCCTCTTGGGCTTAAGCAACTATCCCACCTCGGCCTCCTGAGCAGCTGAGACCACAGGCTCACACCACCATGCCTGGCTAATTTTTATATTTTTACTAGAGACAGGGTTTCAATGTTGGTCAGGCTGGTCTAAAACTCTTCATTTTAGGTGATCTACCGCACCCAGCCAGAAATCTTCCGGTGGCTGCATCTTACCTCTTTATGCTTCTCCATGGTGGCATATAGTTTCTGTGAGAGGTCGTTAGATACATTGGGCATCCCAGGTTTCTTCTTGTTGCCCCTACTCAAGCTGCTCTTATTTTTGCTGGTTTTCTTATTATTCTTCTTTTTAGCATTTTTGCTGTCTCCCTTGGTCACCTGCAGAGTAGCACAAAGGAGACAAGAAAATAAGGTTTTTGTTAAGTGATGTGGGGCCGGGCGCAGTGGCTCACGCCTATAATCCCAGCACTTTGGGAGGCCGAGGCAGGTGGATCACGAGGTCAAGAGATCGAGACCATGGTGAAATCCCATCTCTACTAAAAAATACAAAAATTAACTGGGCGTGGTGGTGCACACCTGTCGTCCCAGCTACTCGAGAGGCTGAGGCAGGAGAATTGCTTGAACCCGGGAAGAGACTGCAGTGAGCTAAGATTGCGTCACTGCACTCCAGCCTGGTGCCTGGTGACAGAGAGAGACTCTGTCTCCCAAAACAAAACAAAACAAAAAAAACTGATGTGGGAATAACACTGAATGCTGCCCTTATTTGAAACCAGACATCATAATCTTATGCCTGTAATACTAGTTGTTCTCTTTTTTTTTTCTTTTTCCTTTACAAAGACCTTATTTTGACTTATTTTTTTACCAGTGATCTTTAAGGCAATGGTGGCCCTTTAGCTTTTTGCCTAGAAGAGGCCACAGAGTGTGCAGACCATACAGACTGAATGTATCCCAGATTGGGGCGAGGGAACAAGGAATGGATGGCATTTTGGGGCACTGAAGAGTGCATGAAAGTGGGGAGCCAGAAGACCTTGGTTTTATCTCCTTCCACCCATATTCTAAAATGGTATGAACCCACAAATACTAAATGACAAGGCTGTAAGAGTTTGTTAACAGAGTATTAAAGGGTGCCTTTTGTAAGTTAAATTCAATGGAGGTAATTCTAGATATGCTATGGGGAAATAACTGGTGAGGTTATTAAGCCAGGCTTAGTTATTTAACAGGTAAATTCTGCCTCAGGCCTGTTTTATTATTGTTAAGAATGGTTTTTAAATTTCATAAGATTTTTTTTTTTTTGAGAGAGAGAAAATATGCCAGAGATTATATGTGGCCCACAGGCCTATAATATTCATAACTTAGTCTTTCAGACAAGTAATCCTTCAGTTTTTTAATTTTTTTTTTTTTTTTAAAGATGGGGTTTCACCATGTTGGTCAGGCTGGTCTTGAACTCCCGACCTCAGGTGATCCACCCGCCTTGGCCTCCAAAGTGCTTGGATTACAGGCGTGAGCCACCACGCCCGGCCCCCTTCAGTTTCTTTTATCATTTCACATTACTCAGTCTGAGATACTATTTTAAAAGGGGGTCTGATGCTTTAAAAGTTTAATACCACTGAAACAGAACCCTAGTAACTTTCTAAGCCAACATTTCTTGCCCAACTTTAAAGAGCTCTTTCACACCTGAGAGCTTTAAAACCAAAGTGAAAGTTTAAGTGAACTTCTGGATTAAATATTAGAATCAAGGTATAGGTTTGAAAGGAAACTCAGTGTCCTTACATCTGTGCTTTCATTGCTGGTGTTTTCTTCTCGTTTTCTCTCTTCCTCCTCTTGTTCCAGTTCCTTAATGCTTTCTTCCAGAACATTAGGCCAGAAATCACCCTCGAAGTAAGGCAATTCCTTTGCACTTGTTAATCTATCTTCAGTAGCTTGTTTAAAAATATCCTGCAAAAATATGCATGTAAAATAGGAATTTCTATGTTCTTTTAAAGCACTGATTAGAGAATAATCACAGCTAACGGACAAGAAACACGAAAGCTTAAAATGTCTTGAAAGTTGGCAGACATGTTATATCTAAGCCATAAGCCAGGGAGGTATTCAGAAAAATACTGAAAAGGCCTGGCCTAAAGTCAAATATTCTGGTTTTCTATTTCCTCTACCCATAAAAACAGGGAACTTACAGGCCTTTCTACAACCAAGTGGCAATTATCCTGCCAGCATCAATGTCAGGGTGGTAGCACCATCATGTACCACTCCTTATGTGGTGGTAAGGGCCACAGAATACGTGGTGTGAAGCATGCTCTCCTCGCACCCATCCTTGGAATTTTAGCAGCTTTTACTGACGGCTTTGTTCAAAATGACCGTAACTACAAATACTGGAAATTGTATCTGCTACAGAATGATTTGCTGCGGTGCTTAGGAAAACATCCAGTTGATGAGCTACTAAAATGAGGAAGACAAGTTCGTCTCATGAGACAGCCTACATTCAGAATGTTTAATACTGTTAAGAATGTATTTTTGGCTGGGTGAGGTGGCTCATGCCTGTAATCCTAGCACTTTGGGAGGCTGAGACGGGTGGATCACTTGTGCTCAGGAGTTTGAGGCCAGCTTGGGCAACATGGTGAAATCATGTCTCTACAAAAACAAACAAACAACACACAACCAGGTGTGTTGGTGTGCACCTGTAGTTCCGGCAACTCAGGAAGCTGAGGTGGGAAGATGGCTTAGAGCCTGGGAGGCAGAGGTTGCAGTGAGCAGAGGTAATGCCACTGCACCCTAGCCTGGGTGACAGCGTGTGACCCTGTCTGAAAACAAAACAGAACACCCCCACCCGTAAAACCTGAACCAACCCAAAGCAAACAAAAAACCAAAACAAAAAAATACATTTTAAGGCCAGGCACAGTAGCTCACGCCTGTAATCCCAGCACTTTGGATCACCTGAGGCCAAGAGTTCAAGTCCAGCCTAGGCAGCACAGCGATACCCCATTTCTACCAAAACAACGACAAAAATTTTGGTTACATGTTTAAAACAGGGATTTCTTGATCTACCACTCTTCAAAGACCAAGTTTTCCTTACATTGAAAAATTTTGAATATACAAAATAAAAGCAATCAAATTAGCAGTTTTAGGAATTACATGCAAGTGTTAGAACAAACAAGACTTTTTTTTTTTTTTTAAATTAAATGACAGAATACAGAGCAGCAACATTAGTGCATTTCCAGATCTACTGTCAGCACCTGGCCCCCATGTCCCAACTGACCTTGTAGTCATGGACAATACGCTCTGACACAGCCTTGTCAAGCATTTTTTTGTACCATTCCTGCAGTCGCTTGGGCTTGGGTATCTTCTGGTCAGGAGGATGGCAATGGAAGATATAATCATCTCCCTCACTTGGTGGACATGCCCAAATATGCCCTGTTGTATAACTAGCAATACAAAAAGAACATTAAGGAAAAAAGATAATCTATTCTAGAAGACTATAGTTTAAACCAGAAGATGGAGCTGATATAGATACCAATGATTCCTCCCAAGATAACAGAGTGTATAACCCAGCATGAGATTAACATTGTGAGGCCGGAACTAGGCATAACCCACAATAAAAACAATGGATCTCATATTGCCTACTTATTTTTGGAGGCGGCAGAATGTTGTGAATTTCACCCTAAAGCAGGTAATTTAGCCCTGGATCCAAAAACTCTTAAGTTTGCATATTAAGACCAAATGAAGATTACATTGTAAAGGAAAATGGATCTGTTTAACAAGAGAGCTAAATAAAAGGCACAGTCTTCAGAGAAGCAGCCTTCCAGATGAGGGAGTGAAATGTCTCCAATGACGTACATACTCTAAAGGTAAGAAGTATCTCCAGAGCTGTTTGTTTTTGGTCTTGATACCCAGGTTGTAAAAGTTAAAATTCTGCCCTCAACTGAGAGGCAAATATCAAACTTCAAAGCAAACTGGACCCAATGGCTTAGCTGAACAAAATAAAACTAATGCTGGATGGGAGAAATTAGGGCCAACATAACCATTTCTTTCCTACTGACAACACTAACTTCAAAGGGGCGCCAACAAAGTTGAGATAATAATTGTTAGGTAAGAACTAAAATAGGAAAAAAAAAAAAAAAAAGGGGCAAAGAGATATATTTGCATATTTAACCTATGTCTTACCAGAAGGCCATGCTAATTAAAAAAAAAAAAAAATTCATTATCAAAATATGCTTACCCTAATTTCTTGACATATTCTAAATATCCAATTAGGATTTCATGATAGACTGCAGTCCTCAGGCATTTAGGACGGAAGAAATGAACACTATCGAGGTAAGATATGTATACTCTCCTATACAAAATGGGGAGAACAAAAAAAAAGTCAAGTCTTACATAATGAGTTCTTTATGTGCCTAATAACACCCTCTCACTCTCCCAGGCTCTTTGCTCAGTTATTATTTGTGAAGCTCATCACAGGCATGTGGGTGACTCAACTGTGAACCCTTCAGGGAAGTTCAGTGAGCCAGTGGCTTCCTTCCATCTGTAGTACCTAGCAGTGCCTGGCACATACACATCAATCAATCAGTATTTGCTGATCACTATACATTCTTATTAGTGCCTTTATACTATTTTTGGAGATAAGAAATTCCTACCCTGTTTGTATGACATACTTTCTCACAAAGCTACTTAACTATCCAAATCGAAGCTCATTTTCTGAAGAGTAGAGCACGTTTGTTTCCAAATTCCAATTTCAGGTTGCTATTTATATCCTTTATTACTATGACCACAGAAGAGCAGTACTGAGCAGTTATTTTGTTTGGGGGTTTGCTTTTTAATCGGTTTCACTTTAAAATTACTGGACACTTGAGATTTTGCATTTCTAAACCAAGCACAATAAACACTTTCTTGCCTGTTATGCTTTTCCACCTATTATTATAACTTGGAACTCCCACACGAATCAGGAAGTAGCCACTGTGAGCCAGTCATACCTCTGGTTGGGTGGAGGGCAGTCAGAGCCATACTCTTGAACATGCATGCCAAAGAAGCACAGGTCAACACCATCAATTTCTTCAAAGGCAAAGAGGGCTTTGGTTCGGTACGGAAAGGATTCTGCCATCTCTCCACTGTCCACAAACCTATACAATTCAGATGGTGGGGGGACCACAACATAACTCATTCAGATTGGAATCACCAATGGTAACCATGTATGAGCAATTTTGGATCCACAAGAGAAGAAAAGTGAAATGACTAGATACCTTGCTTTCATGCCTGGTTTTACTTCCACGGTTTTGTCAGAAGCATGAACTACTCTAACAGTGACCTCTCCTGACTCGGGGTGATTCTGTCGCCTCAGAAAGTCATTCACACGATTCTCTAGAAAGGTACCAAGTCTGGTAGATGGCAACCCTAGGAATGAAAAAGTTAAAAGTTACTGAGGTACAAATTTACTATTGTTAGTCTTAAGGTTCAACCTCAAATCTTACACTTTTTTCAATACAAACAGGATAAATTGGTGAAATTCAAAAAAATCAGAGCAAAGTAGTCATTACTTTGCAGATTTGCATGTTATACTAGGTTCAGGGACCATGCAAATCTTCTCCATATCATTCTAACATATGTGCTGTGTTTTTTTTTTTGAGACGGAGTTTTGCTCTTGTTACCCAGGCTGGAGTACAATGGCGCGATCTCGGCTCACCGCAACCTCCGCCTCCTGGGTTCAGGTAATTCTCCTGCCTCAGCCTCCTGAGTAGCTGGGATTACAGGCACGCACCACCATGCCCAGCTAATGTTTTGTATTTTTAGTAGAGACGGGGTTTCACCATGTTGACCAGGATGGTCTTGAACTCTTGACCTCGTGATCCACCCGCCTCGGCCTCCCAAAGTGCTGGGATTACAGGCTTGAGCCACTGCGCCCGGCCACATAATTGCTGTTAAAGCAGACACAGTACTGAATATTTTCTAAATGTCATTTTCCCCAACTTTTCATTTTGAAAAATGACCAATTTTGGAAGAGTTTACAAAAATACAGAACGGGCTGGGTGCGATGGCTCATGCCTGTAATTCCAATACTCTGGGAGGCCAAGGTGAGCGGACCACGAGCTCAGGAGTTCAACACCACCCCCTGGCCAAGATGATGAAATCCTGTCTATACTAAGAATACAAAAATTAGCCTAGCGTGGTAGCAGACGCCTGTAATCCCAGCTACTAGGGAGCTGATGCAGGACAGTCACATGAACCTGCAGGCGGTGGTTGATGTGAGCTGAGATCCTGCAACTGCACTCTAGCCTGGGTGACAGAGCCAGACTGTCCAAACAAACAAACAAACAAACAGAGGGATGGCAATTCTGGCCAGTTATTTCCACACCTCATTCCTCCTTTATGAAATGACCCAAATAGGAAAAAATATAGCAACAGGAAAAACACCTATCCTGTACATTCCACAAATCCAATCCTTGGAAGTTTTTCTTTGGTCTAATAAATTTCACACTAAAAAGTCAGATCAACTATTACAGATCAACTATAAGGAGAGTACCAAATTATTTTATTTTATTTTTACTCTGATTATTACAGTGATTAAAAAGAAAGTAATTCACTTTGGGTGGTTTCTTCTTGTCTAGGCTTCACGTAAGTTTGGACAAAATTTATTTTAAGAATAAAACTTACTTTTAGCAGAAAACTTATTTTCTTTCCTAGTTCGTGCACTTTTCTTTAAACAGCCATCACAGACGAATCTAAATGTAAACCAAAACTCTGTTTACACAACTTAAAGAAACCATTAAAGTATGTAGCAAAATCTATTCTCTAAATAAAGTTAAAATTCAAAAGACAATCTGGCGGAACCATTTCTAAATTTCTAACGAGTTAATAAAACTATAATATACAAAGCTTTTAGAAATCACTAAGAACAAAAAAGATAACTGAAAAACAGGCGACATGAAAAAACATCAAGGGCATATAAATTGGTTTACACATAGAAAGATGATCAAGGATTACAAATGAAGATAGAATTTTTGCCAATGTGATTGGGGAGAAAAATCCTAAGTGGCGATACTCCCTATATGCTAATTGGAATGTACATTTTGAGAGCAGAACCGATAGATTGTTACTGAAGATATATAGGATATGTGTCTCTTAGGAGAGTTTCCACAGAAACTTGTTTACCAAACAAGTAAATAAATGGATTATAATATATTACAGAATACTATGCATCCATTAAAATTGCAGCAGATGGCCAGGCGAGGTGGCTCATGCCTGTAATCCAAGTACTTTGTGAGGCTGAGGTGGGCAGATCATGAGGTCAGGAGATCGAGACCAGCGTGGCCAGCATGGTGAAACCCTGACTCTACTAAAAATACAAAAAATTAGTTGGGCATGCCTGTAGTCCCAGCTACTCGGGAGGCTTGAACCCAGGAGGCAGAGGTTGCAGTGAGCTGAGACTGTGCCACTGCACTCCAGCCTAGGCAACAGAGTGAGACTCTGTCTCAAAACAAAACAAAACAAAAATGCAGCAGACATAAAAAAAAGAAGTCTGTGATCTCAGTACTTTGGGAGGCTGAGGTGGGCATATCATTTGAGGTCAGGAGTTTTAAGACCACACTGGCCAATGTAATGAAACCCCATCTCTACTAAAAATACAAGAGAATTAGCTGGGCATGGTGGTATGCGCCTATAATCCCAGCTACGCGGGAAGCTGAGGCAGAAGAACTGCTTGAACCCAGGAGGCGGAGGTTGCAGTGAACCAAGATCGTACCACTGTACTCCAGCCTGGACGATGAAAATGAGACTCAATTAAAAAAAAAAAAGTCTATGACCTATAACAAGATACAAAAATTAAAAATTAAATACATATAAATTAAGAAAGTATGATTGTATGTACAAAAGGGTGTAGAAAGAATATTTCCTAGGCCGGGCGCGGTGGCTCAAGCCTGTAATCCCAGCACTTTGGGAGGCCGAGACCATCCTGGTCAACATGGTGAAACCCCGTCTCTACTAAAAATACAAAAAATTAGCTGGGCATGGTGGCACGTGCCTGTAATCCCAGCTACTCAGGAGGCTGAGGCAGGAGAATTGCCTGAACCCAGGCTGGAGTGCAATGGCG